ACTATCGACAAGAGTGGAAGACTTTGAGAATGTCGTTATACTCTCTGATTCAGTTTTAGCAATCTAAGCAGCTTCATATCGGGATCATCCAGACCTCTCAGAGGCTTAAAAGTTGTAAAGAGAATTTTGTGTTATTGCTAACCTTGAAAAAGAATATTATACTGTAATAGATCTCTTCACATTGTGATATATACTGAAATGAGATGGCTGATCTTCTTACAAAGAAAAGCACAGGTATTCTGCAATCTTTCTTCTTGCAAAGAAAGGCACAGGTATTTTGCAATGCACACAAAAGGAATCCACACAAAAAAATAAATAGGATAATCAAAAATACTTTGAATGAGAATTACCAGCCATTATCTGAACTTATTAGTGATAAAACGTGTAGTGGATATTTAAATTTTCAGTATTTAGTTTTTTAGAATGCTGTTCTAGACAAAATTAAAATTGCTTGTGGATGATGTCTCATGCTTTAAATTAAGGTTTTATAAAATTAATTTTAAATATAATGCATTTCCTTTTATTTAAACCTTAACTGTATTTAATGCTCGAGCATTATGTTGCACCTACTTGCTTCTCGAGAATTCTATTGCTTCACTTTGATCAGATGATAGATATTACTGTTTTTACACCATCAACTGACACTCTTGACTTGATGTTCAGAGGTAAGCTGTTCAAAGCTCCTGTTATTTCAATTTTAAAAAATGCTATAATGTTTACCGACATGCATAAGCAACTTGTGTAAATAAAATTCTAACATTAATGTGAATAATTTGCATCTTACTTTATGAAGTTTTTGTCAATCATGCTAATGTGGACATAGTATAAAACACTAAACTGATGATCGGGTTTTGGAGCATGCATGTGGACTGAAAATTGTGAATCTTATTCCATCGACAAATCATGAGGCTTGAGTGAACTTTTCCTTATAAGAACTTACAACTAGTCAGTTTCTCTTGTGGAATATTCTATTCATTTCCTAAACCAGAAAATAATGTCAGAGATCTAGCCAGTGGAAATATAGCACATGTAACGGTGAAAGCTCCTCCCTTCTGGCGAGCAAATCTGGAAAGCTGGTTCCAGCACATAGAAAGCCAGTTTGTGTTGGCTGGTGTAACAATGCAGTGCACAAAATTCCACCACATAGTTTCCGCTTTACAGCGTGAGAAATTAGCAGTTGGGGGAGGCATTATTCTTAACCTTCCAGCCAAGGGTATGAAGGTAAAAAACTGTCTCTGTACGCGGTGTGCTGACATGGAAGAATAGCACCTCAGAGACCTCATTTCTGAAATGCAACATGGGAAAAAAAAAAAAAAAAAAAAAATCTTATTGGAGATGCGAAGTAAGGCTGGCTCATAAATGAGTGAGTATCTTCAACATGCACAACAGATTTTAGCCATTTCCAATGACTCGTTAGACAAGCTCACCGAGATGGCCGATGGTATCATGGTTGCCATTGGAAATGCTGTACCAGTGTTTGAAGTAAAAACAGAAGACTTTGTTCTAAAAGAATTGTTAATGAATATTTTATCCCAGCTTTCATGGATTGAAACACATTCCAGGTTGCGTTCAACCACACAAGAGCAGCAGAACAAAAAATGCTGTTCATCAAGCCGCCAGTGGCGGGGTAGTACAGAGTATTGCTGGTACCATCAGCATTTTTCAGTATTTAGGTTTTTGAAATGCTGCTGTCGTAAACAAAATTAAAATCACTTGTGGATTGCTCATGCTCTAAATTAGATTTTTTTTAAATTAATATTAAATGTAATGCATTTCCTTTTATTTAAACTGTAACTGTGTTTATCCGCTCGAGCATTATGTTGCAGCTACTTCCTCTTCAAGAATTCTATTACTTCACTTTGAATTTGATCAGATGATAGATATTACTGCTTTTACACGATCAACTGACACTCTTGACTTGATGTTCGGAGGTAAGCTGTTCAAGGCTCCTATTTCGAATTTTTAAAATACTGTAATATTTGCCGGCATGCATAAGCAACTTGCATAAATAAAATTCTAACACTAATATGAATAATTTGCATATTACTTTATGAATTTTTTGTCAATCATTCTAATGTGGACCAGTATAACATTAGATAGTATAAAACATTAACGACTCTTGAAGGGATTGTTGATTTCCCAAGACGGCATTCGATTGCTGTGTTAAGGCTAAAAACGGGCCACGACTGCCTTGCTGGTTACCTCTGCAGATTTGGAATCTGTCCACCCCAAACTGTATCTTATGCAGCAACGACCACATGATGGACGCTGAGCATCGCAGAGTATGCCCACCTATCTCAGGAAATCTATACGATAGATATTGGAAGGCTAGAAATAACTTACAAGCTAATTGACTTTTGTTATCGATTTGTTTGTTTATGGTTTACTGTTAGGTGTTTCTAGTTCCTCTGTGTACGTTTTGATTAGTTGTTTCTTCTTGTTTGTCTCTTGAGTGTTTTCGTATATTAAGTGCTGCTGCTAGAAATAATATTAAAAAAAACCTGTTAAAAATATTGTATAATAGACTAACAATAAGGTTTTTGTGTGATATTTACTCTTCTTTATAATAAAACTATATGTTTTGTTCCTTTATTGTATTACAGTACTGTAATTATTAATTTTTTATATTTCTTGTTTCTAATGTTGTAAATTGTTATTTTACTGCTCTTATTAATAACTATTTGGTTATATGATTTGTTCCTTTGCTTTATATTAGTACATTACAAAATTATTTATATTTTTGCAATTTATGCATTTTTTGTATAAAACTAATAAATATCACAATGAAACTGTACCTTTTTAAAAAAAATTCCTAATGCTAGTATTCTAGTACGTTTGAAAAATACTGAATTGGTAATGTAGTTTTGGTCCGGTATTGCAATGACTACATACATGTTTTGTATCTTTTAATGTATAATTATCCTAATATTGTTTTAGAATCAATATCATAAATTATATGTGTAATTAATTATCTGTTGTTTTGAACTGAAAAATGTTCTTAACTGCACATGCTTAATATTTTAACACAAGTACACACTTGAGGTGTTTTGTATGCCACCAAAAAAACAAACAAAAATAAGCTAAATAAGAATAAATATTTATGTTATAAGATTTAATAACAAAAATTTTTAATAAAAACTAATAAAAATTCTTTGAATAAAAGCAAAATACAAAGTATAACATATTACATAAGTTTTAACCACTTATCATATTAAATTTCATCACTGATGTCCCTCCCGACTGTTGCATTCCCAGTAAATAATTACTGTAGGTACTTTGCTCACATACATGAACACATAATCATTGTTATCCTATTTTTCTGTCTTCTGCAACACAAGCACCTTGCCCATATGTCTTCTAGTCACTTTTCTTGGGGTCTTTTTATCTCCTTAGGAAAAAAAACAGATTATTGGGAGGTAATCTACTCTTTCTGAGAAGAGTAGACTACTTCCCAATGAGAAGAAAAAAAATCTACTCATCAGTCGTGATAAGACTGTCGATTAAGGCACTACATAATGAGATGGCTGCGCTTGGTAGGAGGCATTTCGGTTACTTACTCTGTTATTGATGGTAAAATAGTTGGCTTCCCCCCCCCTGTTTTTTTTTTTTTTTTTTTTTTTTTTTTTTTTTTTTTTTTTTTTTTTTTTTAAGCTTATTCAGAGAATTGGAAGAATGTTTTTCAGTTGTCATCAGTCCCGTTAGAACCGACCCAATTTTTGGCTTCTTCGTATGAAGTGAAGTGCTGCTCATTTGAGTCATGAGTCATCGTCCGGAACAAGTCAGAAGGAGCAATGTCTGGTGAATACAGTGCATGGTGTAGCACATCCCATTGAAGCACCTCCAAAATTTCCTTGACGACTTTTGCAGCCTGTGGGCGAGCATTGTCATGCTGAAAGATCACTTTGTCATGTCTTTTAGCATATTGGGGGCATTTGAGCTTAAATGCTCGGCTCATTTGCGTCAACTGTTATTTATAACATTCCCCAGTGATGGTTTCATAAGGCTGGAATAGCTCATAGTAGATCACTCTGAGCTGATCCCACCAGGTGCACTGCATTAGCTTCTTGCCATCAATATTCGGTTTGGCCGTTGAAGTTGATGCATGGCCAGGTTTACCCCGCAATTTTCTGTGCTTTGGGTTGTCGTAGTAAATCCATTTTTCGTTCCCCATCTCGATTTGATGCAAAACCCCCTTCCGATTTTGCCTTTGGAGCTGTAGTTTGCACATGAAAAAAAGGCGTTTGACGTCTCTTAGCTTGAGTTCATATGGAACCCAATTTCCTTGTTTTTGCACCTTACCCTTGAGCTTTGAAAGCTTTGAGGTGCTTTGAAATCACTTGTTGAGTCACTCCCATTGTTTTGGAGAGCTCCTTGAGTTTGGCATGAATCTTAGTCCAATAATCCGTCCAACTCAGCGTCTTCAAACTTTACTGGTCACATGTTTTTATTGATGGAGCATGTTCCCCATATGCTTCACACAGCAATTGATGTCCATCAGCTGCACTTTTTTTCAAATTAAAACAAAAAAGAAGCACTTCCCACAGATTTTGTTTTGTTGGTATAAAGGTTGACGTGGGTTGAGCGCAAATAAAGTTTGTTGTTTACACTTCAGCGAAATGAGACGGACTGATTTTTAGATGGAAATGCTGACACTTTAACATGAATATAGTTAAAAGATTGTCTGACAGGATTTAATACTAGTAAAGCCATCTTATGCAAGTCCCTCAAAACTTATTTTGTACACCCAGTAAATGGTGTATAGCTATGCATCTACATTTACCCTTGAACAGTTATTTTGTATCAATATTATTTTACTTGCATTAGGCCAATATAGGAGTGGTTAATGTATTAATTTTATACCAAAAATATTTCTATAAAATTATTCTGAAAGACAGTTAAAAATTGTAAAAACTGGAAATATGCTGTATTGTAGCACAAATATTAATTAATATTGCCACTTAATATTAAAAATACTTTTCTGAAGCTCTTTTCTTCCTTAGAAACTTGTCTTTGAAGCAGTTCCTTCACCAGTTCCACAGTATTTCAACTTAGAAGACTTTTCCTCGCCTGGTGATCTTGTGATGCAATCTGCTAAAGGAAAGGCTTTAACTGTTACTGAATTTATTAATGCACACGATGTATGCATTATTCTGCATGTTCTTAACTTCTATAAACAAATAAATCATGCATTGTTCATTTTCCGTATCTAACTTTTTTCTTAGGCTGATGAAATATTGCTGGCTGAAGTGCTAATTGCCTCATGCAAGACAAATATTACGAATTGATCTCTAATTTGTAACAGTGTATTTTTGATCGCATGCCATCTGTGAGCCTCTCTCTCTTAGATAATGATTATGATGATATATGTTCTGAACAAAATTTTTGTTAATGTTGAAGTTTTCACAGCACTAAAAACCTAATTTTAATTAGCATTAAAATCATCTCAACCTAATTTTCTGATGAGAATTCACTTAATAATTCACTGCATCAAAATATTAATTAATAATGAAAATAGAATATCGTGCAACCAAAAGTTTTGCATGTTATTTACTATCGCCAGGTGAATATTCCCCTTGTGGAAATCTGAAATAAAAATGTGCTTTAATTACACTGTTTCCATGTAGTGGCACAAATAGGAGAAGACATTATAGCGCCCTTAGATGCTTTGCTGGACTCAATTTGCATGTTTAAATTTTAAATTTAAGAAGAAAATAGAAGCAGAATGCAGTTTTAACTACCATAAAACATTGGCTATCTGTATCCATATACAGATGGAGGACAAAATAATGCGAATACCTATGAAAACGTATGACGTATTTCACATCTGCAGTACAGCCGCGCCACCTGCAACAAGTCTGCCACCTAGCGAGCGTGAAGTGGAAGGTATCAGTCTCTCAACAGCAGTCACCTGCATTGCATGCTTCAATCAAACTGTCTGTGAGAAGTTGAAATGTCAGACCTGTCAGAATTCCAATGAAGAATGATAGTTGGAACACGTTTAAGTGGAGCATCGGTTATGGAAACAGAAAGCCTTGTGGGGTGTGCAAGGAGTATGGTATCAGCCGTTATGACAGCTTACACGAAAGAGGCGTAAGACGATGTCTCTAAAGCACAACAGTGGCCGAAAGGCAAAGCTGGCTGATAGGGATAGACGAGTCTTGAAGCGCATAGTAGCCCGAGAGCACAAGCAATCATTATCCGAGATAACATCCGAAATGAGCAATCATCTCCAGGATCCTGTTTCAACAAAAACTGTCAAAAGGGAACTTCATGCTGCGAACATTTATGACAGATTGGCAATTCGTAAACCCTTGGTGAAAGCAACTAATGCTTTCAAGCGACACCAATGGTGCAGAGATTACAAAGGCTGATCCCTACAGCAGTGGCAGCAGGTAATATGGTCAAATGAATCGTCATTCACCCTATTTCAGACGACCGAACGCGTTTATGTCTGGAGAACCCCCAAAGAAGTGTTTCATCCTGACATCCTCTTGCCGACTGTGAAGCATGCAAGTGGCGCCATTACGGTATGAGGTGCAATATCTTGCCGCATTCTTGGGCCACTTGTTATTCTGCATGGGAGGATCACATCCAATCACTATCTAAGCATTCTAGGGAATCACGTCCATCCTTTTGTCTAAACTGTATTCCCTGGGGAGCACCGCGACCACTTTTCCAAGACGACAACGCCCCCTATCCACACTGCTAGGTATATTCAAGTATGGTTCGAAGTGCATGACGATGCAATTGAACATCTCGCTTGGCCCCCTCAGTCTCCGGATTTGAATATTATGGAACATTTATGGGCATATTTGGAGTCCAAACTTCGTTCCCGATTTCCACCTACATCCGGACTTTCGGAATTAGAGACCGCTCTGCAGGAGAAATGGCTTAATATTCCTTTAAATATTGTCTATGACCTTTATGCATCTATCCCACCTCACATTCAATCTGTACTTCAGTCAAAGGGTGGTCCAACCCCCTATTAATAAAGATTTTCCATTTTTTCACAGGTGTTCGTATTATTTTGTCCTCCATCTGTATATGCATATATTGAAGAAACTGGAATTCACTGAAATGTAAAAAAAAAATTTCTAATACTTGCGCAATAGCTGCAAAGTAAGATAATAATAATTTATTTATTAAAAAAATATTGATTTTATTATCTCCTAATAAATGTAGTAGAATGTATCTAAATAAAGTAACCCAGAAGTATCAAATTTAATCCTGAAAATTTTTTTTAAAGTTACTTGAATTTAAATCATGAAAAATAGAAATTCAAACTTCGGAAAAGAAAATTAATAAACCAAGTAATTATCGTGATTGATCCGAAATTATTTGACTTTTCAAGGGGAACAAACCAACTCCCGTTCAGTGAACAATGATAAATAAATGCGAATGTGTTTCGCCTTTTACTCGAGTAAGAATGATGATGCCAAACTAACAAATTTAGTTAAGGTCAAAATTGTAGCTCTGTTAAGTTATTGAAGTTTTAGAAAACTCGAGATATTATAGCCAAATTAAGTAGAGTACTATAAAGAATTCTGAATGTACATTTCCGCTAAGTTAACGGATTTGTTAGAAATCTCGAGTTAATATAGCCAAATTAAGTATTAAAAATTTTATTATACTTGAGTAAAGTGCCCCCCCGACACCCTCGCTTTCATGCATGTTAATTCAAAACTATTTTTATAAGTATAATAAACAGTAGTTAATCTTTACTTATGAAATAGAACTCATAGTAATAAACATGAAAAACACAACAAACTATGCTATCTTTGCAAAATTAATGTAATATAAGTTGAAAAATTAAAATATATAAAATAAGATATAAGGAAATGTACAATGTGATATGTACATAATATACAAAAAGGAATTCATACAGAATTCATACAGAATATGAATTAATTAACTTACGTTCTTTCTAGTGGGATGTTGGTGAAGTGTTCTCACCTGTGTCTTACTGAGAAGGGGTGTTGCAGGCTATGCTATCCTATATTCCGGAATTATCAATGGGGATACTTTAAATTATTACAGGCAGTAAACCTTTGAGAAGCTATTTTTGGCATGTGGAAGGGAGGTGGTTGCGGAGTTCTCATCCGAGTGGGGTAAATGTGTCTGTTAAAATTTTGATCATACTAACGAGTAAATGGAAACTAATTAATTTCTGTCTAATTGTTGTGGCATAACAAGGAAGAAAAAAGTAATTTTCACTGCTAACGAGCTATTTAGCAGACTCAAAGTATGAAATAGGCTATTTTTTTAGTAATGGCATAAGGAAAAGCCAGAAAACGATTATTTTTTTTAAAATTGTGTACAATTAATTCTGTAATTACACTATGTACAAATCCTCCAACTGATAGTCATCCAACTTATACCGCCTTTTCAGGTTTAGGAACAAATTTTCATATCCCTATCAGTTAACTGATTTAGAGAGAATATTTAACGCCTGCTCTTTTAAGACAATGGTTACTAAATCAATTAGGTATTAGATTGTTTCTGAGAATTTTAATGAGCATAATTTTGCGTTGTAGAGCTATCGTATCTGTGCAAATATTTTTAATATGTTGTATTTGGTTTAAGATAGTATTCTTAATAACTTTCTTGGAGATCTTGGAAGTTCAGGCATCATCATTCTTACTTGATTAAAAGACAAAACACCTTTGCATGCATTAATTATTGTTAATTGAACAGGGGATTGGTTTGTTTCCTTTGAAAAGTCAATTAATTTCCAATCAGTGACGATGGTTTATCAATTTTCTTTTTCAAAGTTTAAATTTCTATTTTTCATGATTTAAATTCAAATACCTTTAAAAATTTTTCCAGAATTAAATTTCATACGTCTGGGTTATTTCATTTAGATACAGTCTACTAAATTTATTAGGAGATAATATAATCAATATTTTTTAATAAATAAATCATATATATATGCATATACACGCACACACATAATATTCTGTACATTTAAATTTCTACATTTTCCTGTACCTATTTTATATAAAATTTCTTTCATTTTTAGCACTTTTCATTAATCTTCCAAAGACCGCATTTTTTTATGATTTGTTATGTTTATAACGATTACTTTGAATTATATTTCATAAATTCTGTTTATTATGTTTATAAAGATTACTTTGAATTAACATGCATGAAAGCGAAAGTGTCAGGGGACAATTTACTCAAGTAAAAGAGAAAATTTTTGTTTATTATATTAGCATAGGAAAAAAAAATTACTACTGCTCTATTTCGCAATAATATCTCAAGCTATATGAAAATTCATAAGCTTTAGGGAACTGTTACATTCATAATGAATTCTATAGACCTTCACTTTAATCTCACTAATAGGATTAAACTCAACTTAAAAGTTTGGCTTAAACTCAACTTACCAGTTTGGCATCCTACTTCTTGCTTGAGTAAAGACAAAACACCTTTGCATTTATTAATTATTGTTAACTGAACGGAAGTTGGTTTGTTCCCCTTGAAAATTCAACCAATTTCCGATCAATGACAATAATTACTTAGTTTATTGATTAATTTTCAATTTAAAAGTTTCCATTTCTAATTTTTATGATTAAAATGATTTTATGATTATTGATTATGATTTTATGATTATTTTTGCTTACCTTTTATGGGTGTGTAATGTTGGTATAAGCTTGTCATAAAATTTGAGAGAAGGTACTCTATCAATTCCTTGTGTGTTATAATATTCATCGAATGCCTCAATCATTGAAATAATGAAGCATAGCTAAAGGTTTCATTACCATATGTATACAATAACATTTGAAGTGTTTTATTACTGCTTTTTTCTATTTTAACACAAAATTCAATTACGTCTCTGTTGTGCAGTCATAGAAAAGTCTTCCTCAGCCATCAATTACATTCACTCACTGTGACCAGTTTTAAAAGCCATTAGTTGAACTCGAACTTGTGGATATATAACTTATGTAAAATCCTATGCATGATTCTTTGTAAGTCTAATACTAGAAAAGAGAAATAAAAGCAGTTTCTAAACTCCTAGTTATGAGTTGTCATAAAGTGTCGTAAAAATGTAATAACATGTGAAAAAAATGTGGAACTGAGTATATAAACTTTACAAACTTTGTAACCAATGATTATCATAAATTAATCTATTTAGTGTAATGTGAATGAAATACTTTTTTATCTATATTTCAGTATCATGCAGATTTAGTTATTGGTGCTGATACTGTTGTTATATTGGAAGGAGAAGTTTTTGACTTGCCTACAAATAAAGCAGATGGACGTCGAATGATAGAGAGGTAAAGGGATATTTATATTTAGTGTGCTAGTATTTAATAAATTATCTCTTTCTGCTTGTATCTGTGTTACTATTTTTATACACATGGTAGATTCACATAAACTTGAACTAATGCGGAATGAGATAGTGACAAATTACAAAAGCATTGAACTTTAAGGAATAATGAATGAGTTATTCACAATTTATAATATTTCGTCCAACATCTGAATCCATGGCAATTTTTTAATGCTTTCCTGTTTGTCCTGTCTTTTAAGGCATCCAGTTTCATTTCCATTGTTATGTTAATTTGTTTTCTTTTCTTCTCTTTCAACATTTCTATTTGCACAAAAAATGCAACACATCATTTGTAAGCTTAAATATAAGCTGAGAAAGGTCTATCCAGAATAAACTGGAAGTTTAGCTTACTGTAGGGTACAACTATAAACCTTTAGACAAGCTTGTTAATGGCTAGCAATAAAAGGAATGTGAATGGTAATCTACAACCACTACCTGACTCTTTTCACTCATTTTTTTACCAGAGGAGGAATGGGATAAATTGAAATTTTCCTGAAAAGAGCAAAATCTGTCATCAAATTCATTACACGGGTTCCAAGAAATAGTGTCACAAAATTAGAATACTACAAGAAATCTTTGAACAGAACAGGAAAATGAGAGCATTCACATATGTACATACTAATTACAATAATACAGTAACTAAACTGTTCTTATACTATTTGTACCATATGAGCGATGTTAGAAATTATTACTCTAATAACAAACAATCATGTTATTTCAAAGATATTTTGCTTCACCAGTAGAAATCATTCAGCAATTAAAGAAAATGTTGTAGTTAGGTTATTTAGAATGATGAGTAATTAGTAGTAAAGTTTGCAGAACATAACTGTACGTCTAGTACTATTAATTTTTTATATCAGGGTTCATACAGTCCTTAAAAGTCCTTAATTTTTTCAAAAATGATTTTTGGTCCTTAAAAGTCCTTAATTTTGGCCAAAATGAATAAACGGTCCTTAATTTTGCTCATTTGACATTTCTTATCATTTCTAATGATTGCCATTCTAAGTGTGAATTACGATTTCTCATGAATATGGAATTAAAATTACACGGCTCTTAACCAATCTGTTGGCGGATTTGCGTTGCAAACGATAAAAAAAAAAAAAAAAAAAAAAAAAACCTAGCTACCCGAACGAAAGTATCGGTGTCTGATTGGCTATTCACGCAATCTTTCGAAACAGGTGTTATCCATAAATTTAGGCAGATTGTGACGAAAGCGTGAAGGCCAAGTTTCTTTAAGAGGCGAAAGTGATGATGAAGGTGCTCGAGAAAAAAAAAGGGGGGGATTCTGAAAATATTTGCCAAAATTAGAGCAATCGCAACCTGGAAGGCCACAACCCTTCCGATGCCAATAGGAACGAGATGCCTGGAAAGGGCATTTTCAATAAAATGTGGCTTCATCAAGCTGACTACAAAGACTGGATATTGATGGATGGCAATCCTTAAATGTGGTCTTTGTCTGAAAAAATTGAAATTTCTAGAATGGGAGAGTCAGTGCTGAAAATTCACATGAAAATTAAGTTTCGTTTTATCATTTCAATTTGTTTTTTACACGGTTTTGCTTAGCTTAATTTCTGTGTTTGTTTCAATTAAGCCATAAATTAATTTTTATATCACCTTCTACTACGGAGTTTATTCTCTTTTGCACATACTATATGTATGGGATATCGGGATTATGAGTTTATTTCTGCAGAGGGTCTGTTATCGATTTCGCGGGAAATCTGTTGGCTCCATTTCGATTTTAGGTCGCCAAGGGCAAATTCGGTAACGCTAGCCGAAAAAAGTGAAGTTCGGAAATACGTTTTGAAGCTTCAATAGACAATTAAGTATTTGGTTTAAACCTATGTTGTTTGATAGTAATGCATAATTTTTGCTAATGGCGATACAATTATTAGTTGAAAATAACTAATTAAAAAAAAATTTTTTTAAATATTTTTAAAGCTGAAAACAACTAATTGAAACTAATTTTCCTGAATTAACTAGACGCAAAATTAACTTTCATGAATTACTAAAGTTATTGGGTAGAAGTTTAACTGAAAATATACATTCCGTATTATATATATATATATATATACAGTATTAAAGTCCGAGGTCTGGACTCGTCGGGACTTCGGCGATCCCAGATTTGAGATTTTTCCGGATATTAGATCATTTTAAATCTACTAAGATGGCACGTAGAAATTATAAAATTGAAAATATGAAATCGTGATTTATGAAATAATGAAGCATTTATGATTTAAAGGGTATCAAAATTTACAAAAGAAAAGAGCTTAATATTTATATGTTTACTTTAATTAAAACATTTCTTTCAATGTGAGTTGTTTGATTTGTTTTTTTTTCTCTGCTAATACTTTAGACTAATACTATAGACATATAAATTTCTTGTTCAGTTATTAAGTTCCATTGTTCAAGTCCTGTAATTGCTGTGTCGAGAATTCCGAATAACTTGTCAATCAAAATTTTTTCTCGTTCAGTAACCTCTCTGTTACTTTCTTCACTATCTGTAACTGTATTTTCTGGATTTAGAACCATACTACAGATTTCGCCCTCCGTTAATTGATTGATGATTGGGCATTGTCATCGCAATGAAAAACTTCTGTTTAACTTCGCTAAATTCTGCCGCCTGGTGCGGCCATGCGAGCTCTGGTGCTGGTTCTGGCTTTATGTGAATAACAAATCAGTTATTCTTAATTCAAATAGCACTAAATATAATCGTTTGTCCTATGAGTATCATTAACAAAATCTATTTTTAGCATAAGGAAAGAAATTTCTGCTAAATCTCTCCTTGTCAACATTTTAGCGCATTAAACTTTAAATCTGTAATCGGATAATACTACTCTGTTATTTGGCCTCGCTGCATGATTCATCACTCAAGTTGTCATCCGTTGATAAACATGCGGTGATGAAAGCAAAATACAATAAATAATGATTCGCGATTTCGGCATCAAGGATATAAAATATTAGTTGGTGTAAAATTAACAAATGTTTCGGTTTGAGATTATGCCAAGCAGATACGCAGCTATGGAATCAAGTTACTAATCACACAAATTTATGCTAAAATAATTATTTCTTCAATAATGAGATATTTTATTTAGTGCCAAACTGAGATTAAGAATCGGGATTTTCGGCACGTTTTCTTATGATGAGGAAAAAAATCTAATGCGCGTGCGTAAAGCATACCTCTTCCCTTCAAAAAAGCTCTAAAAAATTGGTTGGTTGTGGCTTTGAGGTCCCTATTTTAGATCATTCCAGATATTGGATGTCCGGATCTCGGACTTTGTACTGTATATATATATAATATATACATCTTTCAAAATATAACTTACCAGTATGGATTCATTCACTCTTTTAAAATAATTCTACTTTAATTAAACTTAGGAGATAATATAATCAATTAATCAATATTGTTTAGGAAATAAATTATATATATATATATATATATATAGTAAAAAATGTATATTTTCACTATTCAAGTATTCACTGTGACAAGTATTCTTATCTTGTCACATGAACAGGCCTCTGTGGAAAGGGGCTTCTCTGTAAATAAAGCAATTGAAATTGAAAATTTAAGTGACTCATCATACATTTTTCAACGCACAGTATTTGATTACATAAAATTTTCTGGAGGTGTTCTTAATATCGAAATTAATAAAGAAATGAGATCAGCAGCAGCTTCTGCAAGAAGTGGAGTTCGTTATTTAGAAGTTCAGTATTTAGAAGAACAAAAATCTTTTAACTAAATCTGAAAATTCAAAGAGGAAAAGAAATATTATTGAGGAAGAAATTGATTTATATGAAGCAGAAGAAAAAATTTCTTCAAAGGGACATTAAGATATTAATGAAGTAGATGCTTTAGCAGATGAAGCTGAGACCAGCAGGAACATTGATTTGTTTATCAAAGCAAATGAACTTAGAAGAATAGTTAAGAAAAGGAAATATACATAAATAAATTAGATCTTAAAATAGCTGAAAATATTTCAGATTTAAAAAAAAGCACAAATGTTTTGTATCTTTTTATTGTACAGTTTATTATTCTAGTATCTTTCAAAAAACCAAAGGAAATAAATTGTATGTTTACAAATCAGTTATTTTAATCTGCAAAATATTCTTACATTGTGATTATAATAGTAGTTGACTGTGTTTAAATAAATATCAAATAAGTTAAATAATAATCATGTAAATCTCTAAAATAGTGACTGTTATTAGTGTAAAATACACTTATACATGTTTTTCAAGAAATTATGTTCCTAATTTAATGTTATCTACTTCATAACTTGTAGGGAGTTAGTTTAATTTTCAAAATTGTTTTATGTTTTTGTAAGTATTAAATTGAATTTAATAATAGTGCATAATACACACTTCTGTTAGTTTCTTAAAGTGAAATTACAAGCATGAAGTCGGTTGTATGGATAATTGCTTTATTCTATTCATTTTTTTGTTTGCTGATAGGTCCTTAATTTTTTCTTTGATGGTCCTTAAAAGTCCTTAATTTTCATGTAAGGAAATGTGTACGAACCCTGTATATTCAGAATAATGTTTACCAGATTTCTTTATATGTGGGCACATGATTTGATGTTACTTCAAAACTTTGAAAAGTATCGAAAGCAAGCTTACTGTGGCTGAATAAATAGCACTAATTAACACTGATAGTTTTGTCTTAAATTTCTAGCTACGGAATGAGTTGACTGCATGAACATTCTGAGTACTTTTATTAACCCTCTGGCTGCTCATCCCGCGATTTCCACGGGCAACTCAAATGTAGCAAAATCTGCTCATCCCGCAATTTCCACGGGCATGTGTTTTTCTTCCTTTATTGAGGAACGCATCCCGTCCCCCCCCCCCCGTTTAACAACTGAAATAAATTATATACAGTATTAGACATTTAGTTTATGCTTTGGCCAGCAGATATTGTTAATTGTCCACTTCCTTACAGAAATGACTGCTAGAAAA